CCCCGCCCCCCCAATCTATTCTCTGGGCCTCAGTCCTGGGCATTTCCCCCGCTCCCAGCTCATCTGCTGGACATTCCCTCCCGGCCCTGGGCCCGGCCCCTTGGTTGTAAGGCCCGAGTGGCCCAGCCATACCTTCCCTCCTCCCTGGTGCCAGCCTCTGGGAGCTAGGCCAGGTGGTAGGTCCCTCACTCCTTGGGCTCAGGGGCCAGGAGACATGTCCCGGGGGGCCCCAGTGCTGACAGGTCACAGTGAGTCCTTGCTGGTGCCTGGGCCTGACCTAGTCCCCCCAGGGGAATTGCAGCCGTTGTAAGGCCCGAGTGGCCCAGCCATACCTTCCCTCCTCCCTGGTGCCAGCCTCTGGGAGCTAGGCCAGGTGGTAGGTCCCTCACTCCTTGGGCTCAGGGGCCAGGAGACATGTCCCGGGGGGCCCCAGTGCTGACAGGTCACAGTGAGTCCTTGCTGGTGCCTGGGCCTGACCTAGTCCCCCCAGGGGAATTGCAGCCTCCCTAGACAGCGCCAAGCGTTTCCTTGTGACGACGGGCCCTGCTTCCGTGCCTGTCAGAACCTGTGTGCATGGGGCTGGGACAAGGGCTGGTGGGGGGCGGCGGCGGCCCCCCCGCCCCCCGCTGTGAGCTCCCTGCTGCAGTGCCGTGTCCCGGTGCTCTGCCCCCAGTGGAGGCTGATTGTCAGTTGGGTGGCTTTGTAAAGTGGTCTGGGATCCCTGGAACATCCTCTGTGTGACGTGGGGGAGCCGTCCCCTCCCGCTGTGGAAGGCTGAGGACCATGGCGAGAGACCCAGGGCCCCGGACGTGCTCGCACCTGCTGCTTAGACAGTTTCTAGCACTTCTTCCCTGGCCTTCCACCCTTCCCTGCTGCACCCTGCCTGCTAGTCCAGCCCTGGCCTCTCCCTTCCACTGGGCGGGTGCCCGGCAGTCCCTCCCCTCAGGTCAGACTGGCTCCTGCGGTTCCTAGCCTTTCCTCACCTCCGGCTCCTAGGGCTCCATGCGCCCCTTGGTTCCAGCCCTCTCCTGGCTCCCCGTCCCAGCTAGCAGTGCCGTTGCGTGCCGGGAGAGGGCTGCTCTCCGCTGAGGTGCCCAGGGCCATTGGAACTGTTGCCTTGGCTGGTGGCTCCTGCTGTTTGGAGAGGTCGCTTGGGGATCTGCCCGGTGCACACACGGGAGGCGACGTCATGGAAATGCACGCTCTGGCCCCGAGGGCATGGAGAATTCAATAGGCTGCTTTCTGGGCGGGGAGGGCGAGGAGCAGGCGGTGCTGCATGCAGAGGGCAGTTGCCACGTGCACAAGCTCTCTGCCGTGGAGACGGCCCCGGCACTGTCTGCTACAGCAAGCCTCCCAGCGCAGGCTTTCTCTCCAGGGGTTCCCCAGCCTCCGGCAGCATGAGGGGCCCGGCTGCGAGGGCATGGAGCCCCTAGAGGCCTGACCTCGCTGGCTGCTCGCCCGTCTCCTGGACCCTGAGCCCCGGCTTGGCCAGGGTGGTGCGTAGCTCCGGAGCCGTGCACAATGACTGCCATTCAGGAGGGAGCGGAGGCAGGAGGGGGTGGCAGCCCAGCGGTGGGGCTGGGCAGCTGCAGCCACAGCGTGGTCGGCTGCGAAGACTTGGAGGAGTTTGCCCTCAGCTTTGACGATTATGATTTGTGGGAGGCCATCAGCAGCCAGCTGGGTTACCCTGCAGGGGAGCCCGTGCGTAAGTACCTCCCTGCGCTCCCGCTCTCTGGGCTGGGGCTGTCTGTCCTGGAGCAGGCACCCCCAGCTCCCCGGGATGGCCCTGTGAGTGCTTGGCAGGGTCTGCCTGCTCTCGGGGGTGCGGAGGCCATGCCTGGGGCTCTGCCCCACAGCCAGGGAAGATGCAGCCCCAGGAAGTGCAGAGCCTAGGGCTGTGCACTGCTGGCTGGGGTCTGGGACTAGATGCCCTGTCGGCTGGGATGCCATGCTCGTCTCTGCTGCATGGCCTAAAGCCTTTTTCAGAAAACCTTTGACAAGGTCCCTCCCCAAAGGCTCTTGTGTAAATTACATGGCCATGGGAGAAGAGGGAAGGTCCTTTCTTGGATTGAGAACTGGTTAAAAGACAGGAAACAAAGGGTAGGAATAAATGGTAAATTTTCAGATTGGAGAGGGGTAGCTAGTGGTGTACCCCAAGGGTCAGTCCTGGGACCAATCCTTTTCAACTTATTCATAAATGATCTGGAGAAAGGGGTAAGCAGTGAGGTGGTAAAGTTTGCAGATGATACCAAACTGTTTAGGATAGTCAAGACAGAAGCAGACTGTGAGGGACTCCAAGAAGATCTCACCAAACTGAGTGATTGGGCAACAAAATGGCAAATGAAATTTAATGTGGGTAAGTGTAAAGTAATGCACATCGGGAAAAATAACCCCAACTATACGTACAGTATGATGGGGGCTAATTTGGCTACGACAAATCAGAAGAGATCTTGGAGTTATCGTGGACAGTTCTCTGAAAACTTCCACACAGAGTGCAGCAGCGGTCAAAAAGGCAAATAGGATGCTATGAATTATTAGGAAAGGGATAGAAAATAAGACCCAGAATATCTTACTGCCCCTGTAGAAAACTATGGTACGCCCACATCTTGAATACTGTGTACAGATGTGGTCTCCTCACCTCAAAAAAGATATTTTGGCCTTGGAAAGGGTTCAGAAAAGGGCAACTAAAATGATTAGGGGTTTGGAACGGGTCCCATATGAGGAGAGGTTAAAGCGACTGGGACTTTTCAGTTTAGAAAAGAGGAGACTGAGGGGGGATATGATAGAGGTCTATAAAATCATGAGTGGTGTGGAGAGGGCCGATAAAGAAAAGTTATTTATTAGTTCCCTAAATAGAAGAACTAGAGGACACCAAATGAAATTAATGGGTAGCAGGTTTAAAACTAATAAAAGAAAGTTCTTCTTCACACAGCGTGTAGTCAACCTGTGGAACTCCTTGCCAGAGGAGGCCGTGAAGGCTAGGACTATAATAGAGTTTAAAGAGAAGCTAGATAATTTCATGGAGGTTAGGTACATTAAAGACTACTAGCCAGGGGATAAAATGGTGTCCTTGGCCTCTGTCTGTCAGAGGCTGTAGAGAGATGGCAGGAGACAAATCGCTTGATCATTGTCTTCGGTCCACCCTCTCTGGGGCACCTGGTGCTGGCCACTGTCGGCAGACAGGATACTGGGCTGGATGGACCTTTGGTCTGACCCAGTCCGGCCGTTCTTATGTTCTTATGGGGGGTCATATGTGGCCCTGGCCGTGAAACTTGCTGCAGGGCAGCTGGGCAAGGGCCAGTGGCTGGAGAAAGCAGCAGGAGGAGAGAGGGGGGTGAGTGTGCACGTGTGGCACTCGCGTTCCTCTGCCCATCCATCCGCCAGGCCTGGGGCCCTCCGTTGGCCACGCACTGATCAGAGAGCCCAGCCCTGTCTCTGCCCAGGGAGGGTGGGGGTTCGATAGGAGCTGGCAGGGACAGCTGCAGCGAAGAGGTGGGTTTGCACCCAGCCTGACGCCAGCGCTGTGGCTGCCTGTGCTTTATAGTGGGAGCTGCCCCAAGGCCCCTCTTGTCCTGGGCACTGTCCCAGCCCGAGGAGCTCACAGCAGGCGGGATGGGTTAGGGTTAAAGCCCTGAGCTTGGGATCCCGTTCCTGGCTCTGCTGCAGACTCTGCAGGCACTTAGGAAAGTCGCTCCGTCCCCGTGTGTAAAACAGCAATAATCCTTCCTGCCTCTCCCCGCCGCGCCTCTTTGGAGTGGGCACCTGGAGCGCAGGGGCTGCCCTTCCCACGGGCTGTGCAGAAGCAGCCAGGGTGCGGGGCCCTGCCCGGGGCCAGCGCCTTGGGGGGCTGGGAGTGGAAAGCATGGTGCCTGAGGAGGGGGCTGGGAGTGGGGGGCATGGCGCCTTGGGGGGCTGGGAGTGGCAAGCTTGGTGCCTGAGGAGCTGTCAGGCCCATTCTTGGGGAGGTGACAATTGACCCTTGACCCTGTGTTCCCTGGGGCTACGTCTAGACTGCAGGCTGCTTTCGGAAGGAGCCTTTCCAGAAGAGATCTCCCAAAACCGTCTTCCGAAAGAGCATCCGCGCTGCCACAGCGCATGGACAAAGCGAAGTGCTTTTCGCCAGAGCGCTGCTGCCTGAGGAGCTGTCAGGCCCATTCTTGGAGAGGTGACAATTGACCCTTGACCCTGTGTTCCCTGGGGCTACGTCTAGACTGCAGGCTGCTTTCGGAAGGAGCCTTTCCAGAAGAGATCTCCCAAAACCGTCTTCCGAAAGAGCATCCGCGCTGCCACAGCGCATGGACAAAGCGAAGTGCTTTTCGCCAGAGCGCGTCCACGCTGAGTGGAGGCTCTCGCATGCGAGCTGTGATGGCCACCAGGGCACCTGGGCTTTTTCCTCTTTCCTCCTCTTGCGAAAGAACTCCCTCTTCCCCGTCCACACGCGGGAAAGCTCATTCGGAAAACGGCTTCTTCCTCGTGGAAAGAGGGTCACCCCTCTGCTCTTTTGATTGCCTTTCGGAAGAACACAATTGCCGTGTGG